GCTTCTCTCCTCCGTCCAGGACTTACATGACAGCAGTGTAAGTCATGAGGAGCACTGGTGCCATTAGAACATCATCCTCATCCGTTAGTAAGTGGATTACGGGGCTGGAGCGCTGGCATGCCGTGATGTGTGGTTTGGTTTTATTGGCTCTATAAGAGGACACAGTCCACTTAGTCCTCACTTTGATTCCAAGTAATGTCTGACATTGAACAGTTTTTCCATATCGTCTATATTAGGCTCCTCTGCGCACGGGCACTAATGCAGCTTGATGGGTTTGAATTACATTTGTCACTGCGGTAGATTTGATTGAGAACCATTTGGAGTGCTTCACGTTTGACATCTCGCTCCAGTTTGCTCAGAGATATGTGAAGTAATGGCCCTACTTTACGTTCAATCTGCAATTCAGTACTTAGATATTTAAATGCTCAGATGTTAAATTTGGAAAATTCCTTACCTCCACTCAGTATTTGATCATTTTTATTATCAATAAGAACCAAATGTAACTGCTTTTCCAGTCATAGATATATCATCATCACATTAAAACTCCATCTAGACAAACTAGCATAATAAGCAAAGTCCTTGCACATGTCACTTAACAAGTTATTATAACATTATAAAGCTAACTCAGTTCACTTAATCAAAATAACAAATACGTTCAAAAGATTGCCACCATTGATGAGATACATTTGCTCTTCCTTTGAATCAATACAGATGTCGACTCAGGTGGCCTTGTCACACACGGGTTACTTGGATGCAGCTGCTGTCAGTTTGATGCGTTGAGTCTTTAGATTTTAATTCATGGGAGTCTATCCCTCCACAATGGTTCTTTGAGATCGTACTGTAAAATATGGTGCACAAGAAGCACTTTTAAAATCTCTTTAAATTGCTTCTAATTGAAAGGACAGAAATCAGGAAGAGAGAGAAGTGGAAGGACATGCAGGACAGGAGCCACAGGTCTGACTTGAACCCGGGCCCCCCTGTTCGGAGGGCTTTTGCATCAACACACGGGGCACCACCTTACCCTTAAGCCATCTGCGCCCACTAATATACATTTTTTCATGAGCTGCATCTTGTATACCGGTGCGACAATATACCAGTATAAAATGCTGAGACAAGCAGCGCCGTCATGAATCCCAAGTGCAGCCTCCCCATTACACACTTCATGCTACCTAACATGATTGGTAATTCACACTAATTCATTGTGTATTGCAAGCCGCTGCTTCGCTGTGCAAAGCATGCTGGGATACATAGCGGACCAGGCTGGCTGCGCCACTTTTTAAGAGCTTTTTTCCCTCATTAGATCATAACCATGCATGTTGTAAAAAACAATGGTATACTGTGAAGTAAACAAACAATAGGCAGCAGTATCTCAGTCTGTAGGAACTTGAGTTGGGAACTGGAGGGTCGAGGTTTAAAGTCCTTGTGCGGACCAAAATATGGAAGGTGGTCTGGTAGCTTGAGATGTGCCAGGTCACTTCCCAAGTACTGGTGAGGTGCCCTTGAGCAAGGCACTGAGCCCCCAACAGCTTTGGCACGTAGCAGTGTGTAACAGCCCGACTCTGTCATCTCTCCACTAATGCATGTCCACAGAGCCTGTTTGTGCATGTGTGTGTATTTTGGGTCTATCTGTGTGAGAAGCATGTCTCTCAATAACAGAGTGTAAACCTGAATTTCCCTCAGCAGGCTGAGAGCTCAACTACCGCACATGTTGCTAGCAGGATTGCAAACTCCTCGAGTGATGGAGTTGGTACTAGATGGTACTAGAACGAGCTGCACAGCTGTATATCCAAATGCCATGCCGTGGCCTTCGCTGACCAGTTGATGAATAGTTAAAGAAGTATTTGAGTTTGAAAAGGAGACTCGGTGACTTTCAGTGAGGGCTGAATCATTCCAAACCAAATTACTGCGGTCTCCTTTCTGACCACTGTGCATGCAGATTTTTCTGCATAAGTGCCCCATATCATGGTGTCAGTTGTTAATGTCCTTGACTATGCAGATTAAGCAAACAACTTATGCAAATGGAGCGCTACTTTTGCCAATTTAAATTAATCTGAGGCACCGAAACTCTCATTTTCATGCAGCCTGAGAATTCCTAATATGTTTGAATGGAGGATTTGTTTTATGTAAATGACTGATTACAATCTGTAATTCATTTCATCATTCTGGCTTATCTTTTTCATAGCTCTGCTTTGTTTGACTGAGCCGACACAGTTTAACTTTAAGCATATTTTTTTCTTATTTATTTTTTTCTCTTTCCTCCTCACACATGAAACGTGTTTTTCCTCTGCTGTTTTGTTAGAGTAATGCTTTTCAACCGGTGTCTTCTTTATGATAATTTACACAGTCTTAAGTCAAATGATGATATGAAGGGAAAAGAAAACAATGTTTGATTGTTTTGAGCAGCAGAGACTGAAACATTTGTACATTTCTAGCTGGAGAGAGAACCTACCGAGTGTTTCTCTTCTAATTCTTAGAGGGTATGTAATTTTCCGACTGAGAGGGATTTGCTTTTTTTTATATTCGTCTTCAGTGGCAAATCACTGCTGTCACCTTGACATTTCCATAACGCTTTCTGGCATTTTCCAAACTGCACGGTGTGTCAGAATTTGATTTTGGTTTCCATCTGGGCAGCATCAAGATAAGCCACAAAGAATTGATCACATGAACGTACAGTACATGTCAAAAGATGTCTCCTTACAGTCATGTCTGCATGCTATCTTTTTATTCTTCCTGTCACTGCTTTAATTTGACGCCTTTCAGTCAATAGGGACAGTCAGAGCTGTCGAGTTATCTGCATGGAGGGGATATGGTCTGATATTTCAAACCGTCCATCGCCTTGACTTTGATCCATATCCTGCTTCTTGGCTGGATTCTCTGACTCTTCTTTTTTTTCTGCCCCCTCTTTGACTCTCTCTCTCTCCCGTTCTCGCTCTCTCTGCTTTCTGTCTGATTGTGTCTCCGTCCCGCCTGCTAACCTGTCCTCGGGGCAGGCTCAGCGCCCTTCATCTGTCCATCTCGTGCCCAAGCTTGATCCTCTGTCCCTCAGGTGCTGGTGTGGATGCTGCCACATCCCTCAACCCCACAAACCCCCGCTCACGATTCATTAAAATCACAAAGACACAGAGTCAAATGAAAGTGGTCATGTAACCCGACCCAGTCGTCTGGTATCAATGCTTCCTGGAGTACAAATACAAGCTGATATTCAAAGTCATATTTGACTATTGTCTCTCGTGTTTTTGCAGGCTGTGAGTTTTTTTCTCTATAACTTTTCCCTGAGAGACGAGCAGGCAGACTATCATTCAGGTTTCAAACAAAAAAAAAACTTGTTTGGGATAAACCAAAGGCAAACAAACTCAAAATAGTTTCTTCATCAAATAAAGAAGGCAGACTACGCTGTGTTTCTTACCCTGTCATTAGCTAATCATAGTATTGATCTGTGTTTCAAAATCTCTACAATTACTTCAGCAAGGAGCTATGATTTAATCATTACTAATCATATAGTCCATAACAAATCAAATGAGTTGTGATAACCTAGAATTATCTTGAAATACAGTGCTTTCTAAAGCATCAAGAACAGAACAAAGACCGTCTCTTGCAAAGCACAATCGTGGTTATTGTTTGTTACAAAGACAATCATGAGATCAAAATAACTGCCTTTTATACACTAACTACTGTAATCTTCTGACTGCTCAAAGTGTTTTTACACTGCAGGTCACACCTTGATGGTAGGGCTGCTGTGTAAAGTGGCCATCAGTATTGCCTATTCCCATTCATGCACATTCATACACAGCCGAAGAAGCAGTGTAACTTAAGTGTCTTGCCCAAGGACACATCGGACATGTTGCTGCAGGAGCTGGGGATCGAACCCCGACCTCGCAGTTGAGAGACGACCGGCTCTAACACTGATCCTCAGCCGCCCCAGCATGTAGTCGTGGCTATACCAGAAAACTGGAAGTCAAACAGTGGACAATAAATAAACTTACTGTCCCCGACTAAGAAATAGTTTTGGCACTTGGGGCGGCTGATCCAGTGGTCGGGTGAATTATGGATGTGGACCATTGAAAAGTTCAGGTTTTGTTTTTTTGGTGGCGCCAAATGGTGGACTTGATGACACACTGGAGTTCTTTAATAATTCACAAAGTCTGCGATAAGCCAAGCTGACTGACTGCCTCTTTAGGCTGCACACATTATTGATCTAAAGTCCTTTATGCAGTGCCAGTCCAAGAACGGAAATGTACGCCCCTAGTATGCCTCGTCCTGCAATGTGAACCCACAGAGGTGGTGGTTGTTCCATTGTTGAGCTGACATACAGTAGGAGGTATACCAGGGGAGAGACAACGGTGAGGTTAAAGGTCAAAGCAGAGTGAAGTGTGTGTGCGTGGCTTGATGTGGCCTATGTGAAGCTCCTGCTGTTGGTTTATATGTCCTGCCCCTTTTCTGCGTTACTAAAACGCGTTAAAAATCCCACACTGGGACACTAACATGTGGGTTCTAAGAAGATGGACTGACAGCGGGGCTTGTAACAGCACTGCTGCAGACTTGCATCAAAAATCTATTTGTACAATTTGCAAACAAAGAACAAAAAAAAAGGTTTCTGAAAAATCAGCTTGTCATTTCTTCAAGAATGTTGCCGTTGATCTCAGTGATTTCAGTACAGTTGATACTTGATTTGATTTGATTACAGATTACCAGAGATCAGCCTAGAGGCGTGTTCTGAAATCATTGTGCGATGTTTCAAGGTGAAATGAACACACACGGTAGCATGAGGCGCCCCTTCCACTGAAAAAAAAAACTCTCCAAGTAGCGTTCACTAAATTGCATCTACAACATTTTTCAAATTGTGCTGTTGGCATCACAGCTTTGACTTTGATCAGTATTCCACTTGGCACAATTCTCTCAATATGTTCTCCCCTTTGACTCTCTTCTCTCTCTCTCTCTCTCCCCTCTACCCCCCCGTGTTCTTTCTGACTACCCTCCAAATGCCACCCTCCTCCCCTCAGGGCGGGATGATCGCCCTTCTGCTGTCCATCCTGTGCCTGGTCCTGATCCTCTACACCCGCAGGCGCTGGTGTAAACGCCGCCGCATCCCTCAGCCCCAGAAGAGCGCCAGTGCTGAGGCAGCTAATGAGATCCACTACATCCCCTCCGTGCTGATGGGGGGCCAGGCCAGAGAGAGCCTGAGGAACTCCAGGGGTCAGGGCCCGAACTCCAGCGGCACCCTAAGCATTCGGGAAACACCGATTCTAGATGGGTACAAGCAGGGTTTGGGTGGATGTGGGTGAGATGTAATCAGAAATACTAAACCCCAACACATGCAGTAGCTGAGAGTAAATGGATTGCAACTGATTTGTCTACAATTTCAGCTGGCAACACCTTTTCTAATTTACTCAATTTTGAAGCTGAAGATTAAAAAACTTCTTATCTATCGGAACATGTTGTCACAAATTTGAAATCTACACTGCATCATCAAGCATGTTAGCCGCTTGTAATATTCATTCTAAGCTAAATAAGTCAAGTGGTGTGACATTAATTGATCCCCCCATCTTCATCCCCCCAGGTACGAGTACGACATCACTGACCTGCGTCACCATCTGCAGCGCGAGTGTATGAATGGTGGCGAGGAGTTTGCCAGCCAAGTCACCCGTACACTGGACTCCCTTCAGGGCTGCAATGACAAGAATAACATGGACCTCACACCCGGTACGTTGACTGACGCTCAGTCAGGAAAAAAACTGTTAGTTGAGTGTGCGTGAACAGTCAGCAGTCTCAGCCATGATGGTTAAACGATAAAAGATGATAATTTCTCAGTCGAATCTTATCAGTTTTCTATCCATTACAACCATTTCATAGTTGTTTCCTTTTTTGCATTTTGTTATTAAAGTTGTATACAAAAACCTTTCCAATTCTCAGAGGATGGAGTTATCTATCTGGGAAATATTCAAAGATGTATAGTCAGAGATAACACTCTAGATAATGTAAAAATATAAAAATGGGACATAATTCATAATTTCTCTGATATTATCCTCTACTGTCAGCTGTGGAAGTATCTGTTTAAACCTACACACAAGGCCAGATAGCACCTTGAGCTAATGAATGCTAACAGTGCTCTATGTCTGCTGGATGCATATATATGCAGTTCAGATGACAATAATACAGCTTTTTTTTCAAAAGGAATGTCAAGTCATCAATCAATCAATCTTTACCAACTCATAACAAATGTAAAATAACTTACTCTGTGTTATATTATCTACAAACATCCAAACTTAAAGGAAGGGTTGGTCATTTTCAAAAACTAGCATGATTTTGAAAGTAGCATTCCCTCAGTGCCCCGTCTACACTCACCCCCTCCCCTCTGTGCTCCCTCTAAAGCCACGCCCCCTCACTTACATGCACGACCGCTGTTGCCCCAGAAGTGGACCTCAGCTCATCTCTTGCATTGTGTAGAAACTACGTCGTCTCATGTCTCATTCAGCGGTGAGTAAACACTCAACTATTACATGTAAAAAAAAACACAATTTTACTACTCACAACGGCAAACAACAAACTCACAGTGTAAACTCTGTCATCTGTGACACGCTTTGAGTGTGAGCTAGTGCACACAATGGGTAGAGAACAAGCAGGGAGACAGGGAGGTGTCTGATTGGTTCTTCAGATTGGTACCTCGTGTCAGACATTGGTCAGAGTTTTTACAGACTTACAAACTGATACAGATGATGGATTTTCTTTGTTCCTTTTTCAGGGCACTTGAGTCTGTCTGGACCTGAAGATAAAAAAATCTTAAAAAGGGAATCTGGAGAAAATTACCAACCCTGCCTTTAATCCATCATGAGCAATAAGCAGCATTTAGCAAAGTTACAGTGGGAAGAGAACACTTCCTTTAAAGTAAGAATATGTGATTTTTTGATCCAGCAGATGTCGCCCTTGAGCACCAGCATGAAACCAAAACAACTTGCGCTGCATTGTTGTGTTAGCATGCTAATGCTAGCGATCTTTATTATGCTGGTATCTTCACACTGCATGTAAATTTACCTGAAATGAGCGTGATCTAGAAACACAGTTAAGCAGTGAGTACAGTATGTTATTCTTCTTTTCTCTAGTCCCTCAATTAAACAACTTTTATACTTGAGGGGAGGAGTCAGCCGGCCAGCTGTTGGGGCGATGTCAACAAACTGAAGATAGGACTCTGAAAGCATCACAGACAGTGGGACTCGGGTGTTACACCCATTGTAGACAGTCATGACTCACAGAGTTATTTTCAGAGGATATGGGTTGAAAATCGCATTGTCTTTCTTTAAGAGGCAGAAACCAGTTTCATGACGAACAGACATCTGACAAAACTGTGTCGGGATTTGAAAGTGGGATAGAGGGAGATGCAGGAAGAAGAAGGATGGAGACAAACAGAGCAACAACAACAATGAATGAGATAGATTTGAAGCAACAAAGTCAGTCATAATGGTAAAGGTATGTGTACTATTAGCAGTAGCAGCTAAGTGTGTTAACAGGCTGATCGGTCTAATGTTAACATTAGCGACTGTAATGGTGATGGAACGGGGAGGAGTGATTATGTTGACAAGACAGAGCATCAAAACGGTTAAATTGTCAAGTACTGTAGAGAGTAAAAGTGTAAAAGATGAATTATTTTCTCGGCAGGGAACAATTTAATTATATTCACACTGTTGCAATAATTGAGCAAATCAGCGTGAAACCAAAGAACACTAATTAAAGTTGAAATTAAATACTTGAACATGTGTTGATTTTCTTACATAGGTGCAAATATTTCAGCAGAAATGTTAAATGTTAAAGTTAGAATAACTAAAGAGAAACAACAATAGAACAAACTTTCAATATAATGTGTTATGTAACAGGTTCATAATCCATATAAGAACATTTAAGATCTTAGAGTACAGTACAGCAGATATTCATATCAAAACCACAGCTTGTTTTTTCAAACACTTCATCCCCCACACTTGTAATAACTAAAGCCGTTTGTGTTTCTGCCAAGAATTTCTCCTAGAAAGATTTGTATTTTCCTAATCAGTGGACGTTGGAGTGCAGCACCACTCCCATGAGAAGCAGGTATATATATCCTCTGAATTTCAATCAGCAGTTGATTCGCTGCTTGGATTCGTCAGGAGATCAGCGATGGTGACGGTTAATGTGAGAGGCCGACCTCGGAGGTGCAGGGAGCGCAGTAATCCTGTGCAGTATGCACTGAAGATGGTTAAAGGGAGACATGAACATGCAGGCAGCAGGCCATGCAAAGTATTTTGAACAATGGCAACAACTACAGAGGTCACTCAGAGAATGGCAGTGGGAATGAAGGCTGAAACGGTATTTATTTCAGTAAACATGTTTGCTGAGCCGACCTTTCTTCTCTGAAAACAATGGAAAATTAATAAATACATAAACAAGTGAATGAATGTAATATTATGTAGTTCTCATTCCCCGCCTGTTTCCACTTGTAAAATCTATTTTGCTTATATATACTGGCATAATGCAGTAAACCTGACAGATGGGATTCATTTCTTTTTCATGTTAATCCTTAAAGCTACACTTACACAAACTTTGCATGTTAATAAAGGTGCATGTAAAAATCGAGATTTACGGCACTGATTAAATGATGCATCAGGTCCTTTACGAAGGTTTCATTTGATTTTAGATTTTCTTTTTCATTTGAATTTAGTTTATTAATCCCTGTGGAGAAATTCGAGTTTGACGCCCGTTGTTATTTTTTTTAGGGACAAGCTTCTCACACACATAGGCCCACATCACACACATGCACAAACAGGACCTGTGGACATGCATTAGTGGAGAGATGTCAGAGTGGGGCTGCTACACACTGCTTAACAGGGAGCGCACCAGCACGGTTGGGGGTTCGGTACCTTGCTCAAGGGCACCTTGGCAGTGCGCAGGATTTGCCCTGGCACCTCCCCAGCTACCAGACCAACTTCCATATTGTGGTCCGCACCAGGACTTGAACCAGCGACCCTCCAGTTCCCAACCCAAGTCCCTATAGACTGCTTCTGCCACCCGCACGCCCACATGTTGTGTTCTTCGTTTTTTTCCCAAACATGAGATGCATCACCCCCCCCCCCCTCCCCTTTGTCGCGCTAGCATCAAAACTAAGTCCACTACTTTTGCCCAAAAAAATATATTTTGAATGTCAGGTGAGACAAATGATAATGCAGTGTAAGAAGAATTAAAGTGAAGTCAGAACTACAGCCTAATTTTAAAGTCATGCTGACAAGTTAGGTAGAATCTAATTCTGATTTATTGTATGTTTACATTTTATCATTAATACCAGTAGAATTTTTAATTCAATAAGGTAACCAATAAGATCACTTTAGACAATAAAAGCCTTTAGAACATTAACTATAGCAAGTTAATAAGTAAAATAATGCTGCTGGAAATGCTTTAAATGTCTGAAAGGTGCAAAAATTACAAAGTTTAAATTATTTTTAAGCGATGAGGAAATATTACAGTGATTATTTATCTTCTATTTTCAGGGTGTAAAAAATTAAGAGCAATTAATTCTCTGACACGACGACTCCATGTATGATTCCTCCTCTATGGACCATGAATTAAAAACACCATCAGTATCCACCCAGCAGTTTTCAGATATCTTAATCTGATTTAATAGACGCTCCAACCGGGAGACAAACATCCCATCCCAAAGGTGTTGCAGGTAGTTGGGCTAAGAATGTGAATGTGTATGACTAATTGACTATATCATTGTACTTTTTTTTTTTTAAGGTGAATTGTTCCTCAGAGGACGCTGCTTCAGAAAATATCTTCCATTATGATATTATTTTAATGGTTGTACTGGAACTTCGTCTCTTAACATTCCCCATTTAGATGATTTCACCCTCTGATGCCTTCTGCATATTCCCTTAATGAGTTTTCATTTCATGCCAGCTTTTCTCTCTTTAAATTAGCTGTTTGACTTTTCCAACACTCAATAACAAGCCAGATGTTAGACCTGTTTGTTAGCATCGCTGACTGCTGCTTTATGGTTTTCAAAGCCTCTCACATCCAGCTAAAGCCGAGGCTCACACGGCAGGAGTTTTTAAAATCCTTCCAGATTTTGATTTTGGCTAACAGATATTCTTAATTCCATAATCTCAAACGTGCTCACACAACAAGATGTGTCAAGACATCTTGGCACATCACAGATTAAAAGATTCCATTAAGATTACCGTGCCCGACCAAGGAACTCACCGCCTCACATGACCGCACGTAAACAACGGAGCGGGCAGTTAAATGTGTAATAATGATGCTTTGTGCAGAGAGGAAAAAACATAAAACAATCAATCAAGTTTTGGGTAAAGAAATGGACAACCTGGGTTGTGTAATCCTTAGTGCGAGCTGGAGGTCAGATTGTCCTGTGCACCTGTCCAGGTTGCATCTTGCTGCCAGTCGCCACAACTATCCACTTATTACTTTCCTCCCTCGTCTCCCGTGGTTATTGTAGTCATACACAACTTCTGCCAGACTCTTTCGTGATGCAATTGTCAAGATTCTAAATTCTAAATATTAAACATGTTTGAGATAAACCAGGGCATCCGCAACAATCGCCGAGCAGATTGGGGACAATAAGATTAATTTTGGATCTTTATACCACTCGCACTACAAAATAATCTGATAAAATAATCGGTTCAGAGAATCAGGAACAACCCCGCGTTTGTTGGGAAGGAGGAATCAGACCTCAAATCGGCCCGATTATCCTGCAAGTTTGATAAAGGCTTCAGACAACAACACTTTGTTTTTCCAAATGGCTGCGTTCTTATTTCAGTTTGAGCTTCTACTACATCTGAGCTTTTATTTGCCAGCTATCCTCATCTGAATACTCCCCTTCTCCACAGTGAGTGACAACACCAAGCTGGCTCTGATGAACAAGTACAAGGATAACATCATCGCCACGAGCCCCATCGACAGCAACCACCAGCATACCAACACGCTGCTGCCGCACAACACGTCCACCAGCCAACGCAAACGGCTCTCCAGCAACACCCGAGGTGAGTCACCACCTCCCAGTGATCTGCCTTCAGATAGAGATAAAGACAAATAGATCGTCACCACTCAGTGAGTTCCAACACATCCAGTTAAAACAAAAAAAAGTGAATTCTACGGCTCAAATGTTTTAATTTTACAAAAAAAAACATGTTTTATCCCAAAATGATTGGCCATGTTGGCCAATAAGACATCTAAAAGGTCAAACTGAAATTTAGATTCTTCTCGCATTAAGTTTTAAACACTTTCAGACACTTTCTACTCAGGACTACGTACCTAACAATGTGTCGTCATCTGGGGATTAATCTTTAAATGATGATTCCCTACTTTGCTACTTTTAAATCGCACTTGTTTTACACAGCTAGGTGTTTGTTCTGCCCTCTCAGTCCGCCTTCTGGCTACAATAGGACATGGAGCGACAAAGGCCGAGACACACAAGCCCTTCCAGAGAGGGGGCATGATCAGACACAGCTCATTTAAATATGTAAAGGTACAGACACAGAAACAGTCTGTTCTGAGCAGGGCTGAAATAGTGGGGTTTATAGACATGATCAAATACAGGATCAGAGTGGATTTAGAGCAAGAAACTTCACACACATGTTTTGGTAGACCTTTGAAACTTACTTAAACTTGTTGTAAAGGAAAATGATATGTGACCTTTAAATGTGACCCAAAGCTTTAATGTTTAATCCGTGCAGCCTGTTTTCACTGCCGTATTAACTGAAAACAAAGACTGTCCGTTCCATCAGCTGAGAGAGATGGACGACCCAAAAACATGTGGCTAAAACACATTCTGTGTAACCCTGTTAGTCTTTAGCCTCTGGGTGTTTTTAGTTTTAGCAGAATGAGAGAGCTGCGGCTGTTTGGAGACTTGAAGTCGGCCTCTGTAGTCTTGAAACGGACTGCACAACCTCACGCTGCACGCTCTGATACTGCACATAACATGTGTTTTTACCATCTTTTTAAATAATGTTAGCTCTTAATGTTTTAAAATAGAAAAAAAAACACCTTCCCACATCCATTTCATAAGTCAGGTGTAAGAGAGAGAAGGTAAACGGGTCACTTTTTCAATCGCCTCAGATGTTGCACTTTTTAGAAGGTTTTACATTTGATCTTCATTGCACAGACACACAGATATATTCGTATATATTGTTGGTCTTAATGGTGAAATTAATACTGACATTAAGTCTAAATTAAAATTTCAGTTTGACTTTTTGGTGCCCATGCTGCATCTATGCCTCTGAAAATCCACTCAGAGGCTACGGCTCAATCAGACACGAATTGTTTGTGATATAAAAGAATGTCGGAAATATGTGCCATGAATGTGAGTCATGAGGTGACTCAGCAGCAGGATCGCAATGAATCAATTAATTCTGTCTGGTGATGAAAACATGGCGAGCCCATGAATGCCAACACACAGCTTTGATATTAACAAAAACATGAGCACCCTTTGAAAACTCAACAAGGTCACAAATAACTTGTTTGCCAATAACTCTGTGAACAATGTGAGGCTTTATCTGCAAGAAACAGAGGATAATCGATGAGTTACCCTGAGAGATGAATGCCTTTTGAACAATACATTGATGGAAATGTTTCCCATGCATGAGGTGTGAATGAGAACATATACATCTCTACGTTCATTGTGGTCCCTTCAGTCACGTTTCCACCAAGCGGTCCGGTTCAGTTCTGTATGGTACGGTACACCTTTATTGATGTTTCCACTGTCAAAAGTTGGGAATGGTCCCACTTTTTTTGGTACCCTTCTGTTGGAGTGCCAAGCGTACCAATCTGACTCTAAAGGGTGGAGCTAGACACACTGCAGTCCGTTGATTAGTTGAAAGAATCGTCACTTACTATGTGACAGCGGTAATAAAGGACAAACAGGAAACGCACGATGTTTAAATATCCCGTGGATCTTGAGAGAGTCCATGTGTGTGTCTATGTGTTTCCCACACATAGACAATACTTGGGCGGGCCGCCCGAGGTAAATTTATGGCCGCCCGAGTATATTTCCGACCTGTTTTTATAAATTTTTCATTCATTAAAAAAATTGCTGTGTGTACAATAGAGCGAGTGAGAGCAGGGGAGAGAGAGCAATGGCTCTGTGCAGGAAGAGACGGGAACCAAGAGAGAGAGAGAGAGCGCACGCAGACCTTCCTAGGAATCATTGATCTGTGTTTACATTCTTCTTCTTTGTTGAATTTATTGGCCGTTTACACTATGTCCCACCGCTGTGATTTAGTGCTGTATGGTTGGTTGTGGAAACGCAAGCAAGATCAGGATTAACCGTACCAAACTGTACTGAACCAAACTTGACCTCTTGGTGGAAACGGGGCTCTATAGTTATCATAAACCAAAGCGTCTTTCTCTCCATGTTCCCCTTGATATTATTCTTGAGTGCTTTCTGTGAGTGATTTATTTGCACACATCGCTGTCGTCATCCTCATGTCTCATCTCTCGTCCGTTCACCTCTGCCTGCACGAGCCGTGGTAGCGTAGGTGTTGCATCCAGTATGACAGGGGGTTGAGGAATACAGAAAAATGAGGAGGAGGTTACAGCTGAAGAAATGGAGAGACATTATTCCATTATGATAAACAAGAGAAGAAAAAAAAGAAAAAAAAGAAGGCAGTGACATTTCCAAAATGTCATTTTGGAAATGTTCAGTTGACCTCGGACCATAATTCACTTTCCTCCACACTTGGCTGCGCAGATGCTTTATTCTCAGCCCCAATTAAAAACAATTTTGTGGAGTCAGTCGAAGTGGAGACACTCCAGAAATAAACTTTGTTTTTGGCAGGAAGTAGAAGAACAGTGAGCCCACAGTCAGTCAGAGGGCTTCTCTCACAGTTTGAAATAAATGGAATTGTAAAGCTCCCACAAAGGACTGCAAGAAGAGAATTCATCCATGTCTCATATCAAAGCCACTTCTCATGTATTCTTCTCCCGTGTATCCATTTCAATCATGTTTCATTCATGACTCATGGAAACCCAACATGACTCTTGGGATATTTAAATAAGACCTTTTTGTTTCTTTCTTTGTTCCTGTCTGACCTTGACTGGTTTGGTGTACACCTGCAGGCCCCCACAGCAGCTTTGAGAGCTTAAATCAGTCAAAAAAACAACAACATTCAAGGAAAGCCTTTTATCAGTAAAACAGTGTGAGGAAAAATGATGAGCGAGAGAGAGTGCCCAACACAGACAACCCAGAGAGGCCTGGCTCTGTTGGCAGCTCCAAATGCCAGTGTTGGAATGTAAAAATGTCTGTGCCTGGAGGATCCTGCAGCACGGACTCATTAAAAAGCAACAGAAAGAGGTATTTTCAGCTGGTCGGTGAGACTTTATGACAAATTGATGAAAGAGTCGAGCAGTCTCAGGCCATGTTTTTAGACAGAAATTTTGGCACTGTCAAAAAGCAAACGGCAAACACCTTTATGATTGCTTTGTTCTGTTACAACCCCTGTCGTGACTTGACAATATTAAGAGATGAACGTTTTGCATGTAACAAAACTCCTCTTGGCACTTTCATAGGTATCAGGTTGCTATGGAGCGGTATGGTCTGGAATTAAATGTCTTACTTTAGTCGGGAAATGATCTTAGTGTGCCCTCATCGCGTATGTGAATGCAAGGTTACAAGGTAGACTATGTACGTATATTCCTGGTCCATGTAGTAATAGTGTTGGGTTTTACCACGTGGTTGTTGGAGATTAGTTAAGTGAAAAGGATCAGCAAACCCTCTAGGCCATTCATTCTCAGACTGTGGTACTCTACAAGGGCTACTTCTTAGATAACACTTTGCCGTTTTCACATATGCACTCCTCGAAATATCTAAATAACTTCACATATGCTGCTGATCTGGTTGTTTTCATATGCTCCTCACAGCGGGAGACTATCCCTGCAGGGGGTCTCCTGAGGTAAGAAGAGACATAAAAAAACTATGCAGAAGTAGCGGATGAAGCAACAGAGTCTGCTATATTTATTTATTTTAATTTAATTTAATGTATTTATTTATTAGCACACATAGAAGTATTTATTTATTAGCACACATATAAGAATACATCAAATAGGATTAACAAAAATATATAAGGTGTGTCTGGATAGGTCAAGAAGCCAACAGGTTTATACAAAGGACCTCACCTCTTAAGAGATACAATGCTATAATGAGAATATTTGCCCTTATATCGATGCTATGTGTAGTTCAACAGAACCCCACTATCAACAAATCACTTGCCCCTCCTATTGGCTAGAGGTGAATTCTCCAGAGAATATCCTGCGGTTTTCTCACATCAGCTCACTCGGACTCTCTGTGGAAAAAAATACTAGGAGTCTGGCAGGAGAACCTCAGGGTGAAGGTTGAGTGACCAATACAGCTGTTAGCGTAGCAAATATCAGGAGTTTTTCAGGACTTTTCTGCAAGTGTGAAAGCCTGATCTGATTTAATCTGCAAGTGGTGACATTAGCAGTGCCAGTGAAGCTTTGGCACCCCCAAGCACCAGACGAAACAAAACAGGAAGTATGACTTGAGTTACATCAAGTTTCTTTTTTGGAGTGGCAGAGAGAATGAGCCCTGGTTGCAGTGCGTGGTGTGCGGTCAATAATGGCAGTCAATAGTGAATAATATTCAGATCAGGAATACAATTGCCTCCAGTGTATACAGAACATGTAGTTAAAAAGCCCTTTGCTACCATATTTCAACATTGGTCATAATGGCAGCACTTGGGGAGGCAAATGTTTTCTGAGGTGGTGCTCATTGTGAAAGTTTGACAACCTGTAAGGTGTAAGGGATACTTTGCTGGTTAACTTACAATTTCAAGAGATGGACTTAAGGTTGCAAAATGTGCTTGGACACAGTTTGCTCATTGTGAAACCCTCACAGTGAAAACGATGCATGATCACACACTGTGTGATCAGAACTTGTTTATCTCTGTTTGCCTTAAATGTAACATTTTCCTACAGACATATCTGAGGAACCTGTCTTTTACAGTTATTTATAACATTCACAAAGTAA